AGAGGCAAAGGCGTTGGAGTTGGTCGTAGGCAGTGGCAGGTGAGTTCCGTAACGCGGCCCTGAGGGCTGGAGGCCGTCGCGGGGCGGAAATTGCAGCTCTGCGCTGTGGAGGTGGCGGCCGGAGGAAGGGGGCGGCCTGGGCCAGGTCGGGGCCAGGCCAGGGCGGAGGCGGCGATGAGTTCGCTCTGACTGGGTTGGTGGGAGAATGGCCCGGTTCCTGGCTGCAGAGTTCCCGCTGGGAAGGTAGGCTGGCGCCGGAACTAAGTAAGTTAGGCCGGGAGGTCCCTTGGGACGCCCAGCTGGTCCGGACAGGGGCACTGACTGGCGGCCGGTGTCCGAACGGTAGCGCTTGAGGAGACCGGGTTCGGCCAGGGTCCCAGAGAGGGCGGTGACCCGGAGTGACCAGTCTGCGGGCGGGGTGACTTGGGAATACTTCGGACAGCTTGGGTGCGAGGAAAAAGGAAACCCTGGAAGCTCCGGGCGTGGACAGTGTGTAGATAGCCGGGGGCCGGAGGGGACTGGGAGTGGCTCTTGGGGAAGAGAGGAGGGGTCCGAGGTGACAGAGCAACCAGAATCCGAGTAGGGGCCGTCTGCAGAGTGGCGCCCAGCGGGGTGGGGACCCTTCTGAGAAAGACGGCCAAGGGAGAAGGGCGCCTGCCGGACCCCAGCCGCGCTCCACCCGGAGCTGCGGGTCTTGGAGGGTCGGACGAGTGGAGACCTGGGAGGGAAGACCCGCAGCACCCAGGCACCCGCCACCCGCAGCCGGACTGGGACCCGAGACTGGACTGGCAGCTCCGGCTCTGAAGATCCCCCGGGGCACCAGGAAAGACGTCCTCGAGGAGTAGATCGGGCTGGAGACAAGCTGGAGAGTTGCGCGGGGCGGGGGGTGGGTAGGGAATGGAAGTTCGCTGAAGCAAAACTGGATGGAGGTGGGAGGGGAGGAGTAATTTCCCCCGTAAAAAGGAGCTAGTAGGTCGAAGGAGTGACAGAATTGCTCAGGGAGAAATCGTAGTGGCCTTGTAGAAACTGGTCAGGACAGTAGATACCAGAAATTAACAGTGGTGTCACTAATGGATTCTAAGGTCTTCAGAAAAAGAAGAGACTTCAGCTTCATAATTAATACAAAGATGCCATCTAGGACCGGAGAAAAAGTCCTAATTGTAGGGTAAAGCGACTTGTATTTTAGTGTTTTAAGAAATTTGGTTAAGGACGACAGCGATAATACTAGAAAATAAGGACATTGACAGGATGGGAAATTTGAGAGGGAAAAGGGGAGGAGTAGCAGAGCCGAAGGAATAGAACTGGAGACTTGGTACGAAAGAGGATATTCATGACAATGATAGGCACATCCTGCTAAATTGAAAATGTTTGCGTTCTAGTTCTGCTTTGCTTGGGCAACTTAACCTCTTTACATTTTTTTTCATCTGTGTAATTAGAGATACTAATAGTTTTTACTTGAGGTTTTAACATTTTTTTTTACATGAGCTAATATTTGTAGAGCTTTAGGAAAATCATTGGCACATAATCAGAACTGTGTATTGGATTGATAAATGGAGGATAAAGACCTGAGTTCTTTAATGCTGTAGCTCTCAAACATTAGCTTACATCAGAATTACCTGGAGGGCCTGGTAAACTACAGATTGGTTGTCTCACCTGTGGTCTGACTAAGCTATTGGGTTGTGCTTTGGAATTTATCTCAAGTGATGCTTATGTTGGCCAGGAGACCACATTTTAAGAACCACTTGCTTTAATGAAAATAGTAATAATGAACAACCCTAAAACACCTACCTGCCCATTCTTCTGACAAGTGGAGGAAAATTGCAAAAAAAGTTTTGATAGTACTGGAAATGGGATCCAGGGCCTTTGTAATAGGCAAGTGCTCTGCTACTGAGCCATAACTCCAGGCTGAGGATACCCTTTTTAAAGCCTGTGCTTTTAAACTGTGGGTCATGATTAAGCTGTAATTTATAAAATTTTGTAAATTACCACAAACAACAGAATAGACCAGGATTGCACTTGGTAAGGAATGTTTTGGGAAACTTCTCATACTTCTATGTACTAGGTCACGGTGTAAAACATATTTCTTGCAGTCAAAGTTTAAAAAGTGAGCCATGCAGTTTAGCAAAAGCAATCCTCTGTTATCCAGGGGTTGGGTTATTATTTAATCTTTTTGTTGTATTTCTTAAGTGGTAAAGTCCATTAAATTTCTTCACTTGATTTTAGCCGAGAAGTGATTAGTCCATTACATTTCTTTATTTTTTGATTTATCTTTTGTTAGTGTTATCACTATTGTATTGTGCCTCTGACTCTGGAACTTTTTTGATATTGAGAATCTTTCACATGAGGACTTAAGGGAATTTGAGGCAGAGAAATTGGTGTTTCTCAGGTGTTGTCTGCTTTTGTTTTACTTGTGCCCTTTTTTCACCGCCCTTTTTTTAAACCAATGTACTATAAAGCATTGTCTGAAAAAACCATTAATATACACAGACATAGTGACAGTAAACAATGAAAAGTGAACAGGTTTGAGAACATTTCATGTGTGGACAATAAGCAAAATAAGAAACATTTCAAAAGAGAAAAGCAAAAAAGTACTTTGTTTTTGGAGAGTAAAAATATTTAAAACTTTTTCTTTTGACCATACATTAAAATAAAACATATAAAGACATTTTTTAAGGTACTGGCTATATGATTTCTAGTTTTTTTTTTTAATTTCTAGGTTTTTGTAGAGAAGTAGTGATAATGCTTGACTGCAAAATTCACTGGGGTAGACGCTTAACTGCCAAGAAAATTGCACGTTAAGCAGGAGCTTTTGTTTTGATGGTTTTCTCCCCCGAGAGTGAACTGGATGTGGTATATGTTGTAAATTCATTTGAGGAGCCTAAATAAAATCTACAGTGTCTGTTTAAAGTTATAATAGGAATGTACAGTATATGTTTTGTGCTACCCTTAGTCTATTCTATTGAAAATTAGATGAAGGTGGTTTAGATTCCTTTTTGTTGTTATTGTTACTTGAGTCAGGGTCTCGCTATGAACCTAGGCTGGCCTCTAACTCAAGCTGATTGTCCTGCCTCAGTCTGCTGAGTGCTGGGATTACAGGCGTGCTCCGCCATGCCAGGCTGGTCTAGATCTGTTTTTATGTAAATAAGAACAGAGAAACCAGTATTGAAAACTGAAAGAGATTCTTGTGGTTCTGTTTAAAATCTTTAATCCAGTGGATTATGTAACCTTTCATTAATGTTTTATGAAACTGAAGAAATTGTTGATGTAGCTTTATATCAAGGTTTTTGAAATTATGTTCTCAAAACTTTAATTCTCTTTCAGATATTTCCATTTCTTTAAAGTTATTTTTATTTTTAAAGTTGGAAAACAATCGTTCTGTGTTTGATTTCAGAAGTAAGAACAGGACCCAGGGATTTAGCTCAGTAGCTCTGCTGCCTGCCTTGCAAGTGCAAGGACCCAAGTTCAATCCCCAGTACCAAAAAAAAAAAAAAAAAAAAAAAAAAAAAAAAAAGAAGAGCAGTCCGTTTACAAAACAAATTTAGTAAATTTTTTGTGAGAAAGGATCCAAGGATGAAAGCTTTTGATTTCTTGCATTTTTTTAAGGTACTGGCAGTTAAGTGGAATGCCAATAGTAGACTGGATGTGATAGCACACACCTGTGATCCCAGCACTCAGGAGGAGACTTAGGCCAGAGGATTGCTGTGAGTTCGAGGCCACCTTCTGCTACATAGTGAGTTAAAGGCCAGCCTGAACTACAAAGCCAGACCTTGTCTCAAAAAACAAAAAGCGAAAGAGAAAGAAAACACCACCACTAGAATGGTTGTTCTTGAAGTCATTATATATTTGTATAGATCATTTAGTTCTATCCCACATGGTGGGAGAATGTAAAATCTTAATTGAGTGTGGGAAAAAATATAAAAATTCATTCTTCATAATTGTGAACATTGAGCAGTTTACTTTTAATAAATGGACTTTATTCAATTGGCTTATTCATCTGTGATTCAATTATACTTATCTATGAATAGCTCTGGTTGCACAACTCATTTTGCAGTTGAGACCTATTAATCTGTAGTTGAACAAATGGTGGTTTTTAAATCCCAGTGAAACTGTGTGCTCCCGATTATTTAGTGATACTCAGTTTTACTTACTAAGGTTTATTCAGATAATGATTTTTTAAATGGAAGTTTAATTAATACTAGTTAATTGTATTTTCTATTTTAGGGGAGTCTTGTTTTATGAAAGCTTTTGATCTGCTTTTTCTGCTTCTTGTTCAGTTACCCATACAATAAATCCTAAAGGAAAATCTGGTTCTGTGAAAGAACAAAACCCCTATATTTGATTTTTAGTTTGCTTCAAGAATTACTTTATTAGGAAAGGCTCCTTAGTATACTTATCACCTTTAAAAATATATTTATATAATAGATTTTTATTTTTACAGAATAGATCTCCAGTTCTGCACATTTCTCAACTCTGATTTGTATTTCCTTGATAGGACTGGGAGAAGTGAAACAATGTATTCCCTAAATTTTTAAAGTGTTTTGCTTTTTTTTTAAAAATCTTAATATTATGATACTTTTTTAAAAAAGTGTTTGTGTTGTTTTTCTGAGACAGGATCTTGACATATTGCCTAGACTGGCCTTGAACTTATTACTGTCCTTCCCATCTCATCCTCCTGAGTACCTGGGATTCTAATAAATCCTTTAGTTGCAAAGAAAATTTGATTTAGTAATATAGATTAGAGCTAGAAATACTATGTAAGATTTTAGGATGTCTATTCAGAAGTGAGATAGAGGTAGTGATTAGGATCTTATTAAATACTAGGCACAATATTGCTATACATTTTAGAGAATATAAAATACTACATTTATAAATCTTGAGGCACAAAGGAGGCCTGAAAGTAAAGGAGAATGAAAATACTGACGTGTTTAAGGAGGAGTCCAGAGGACCTGCGGGAAGTGTGTCTAGAGGAATGAGCAGTTCCTGGCAGTTTTCCTGAAGTGACATATGTAAAGGAGGAGGATCCTATTTGTAACATTCTTCTATGGACTGATTTTTAGTTCTGTAGTTTCTAGTGCTTGCTATACCTCTTCCTTTGTTTTCTTCCACTCAGAAAGCTCATTTCAGAATGTGAGTAAACAGACTGAGAAGTACTAGTCCTAGTGGATAAGAGACAGAGGACCATGAGACTTTAATGATTTTTGTTTGTTTCTTTGTGATGCTGGGAATTGAACCCAGGACCTGAG